GGTCTTGAGGAGGGCTGGTGCCCAGCATCCATCCTGGGTGAGGGAATCCATTCGTTCTGGCTGTGGAAGCCTCATGGAGCTTCAGCGGCTGTGCAGCATGGCGAGGGCTCTGCGGGGTGGGGGTGGGGGGTTGGGAGCCACAAGACTCACCCATTTCTCCTTGGGAATCCTTGAATTCCTGTTGTTGAGCCTCGATCTTCACTGAGGACCAGTCATCAACTGTTTAAGTGTCCAATTATAAATAAGCCGAAGTCTGTGGAAGGCCATAATGGCCCTGCTTTAAGTGGTTCACTGCTCCCGCAGCTCACCACGCTGTCTCTGCTTCCGCTGCCATCTTGGATCAGAGTCCCAAGTATGATCTTGAAGATAGTCCACTTAAATTTAGAGAGTGTCATCCACTTCCTAAACAATACGCTTCTTGAAACTCTATGATCTTTGATAAATGTTGATAGTTATAGAAAGGCTTCAGGCCTTTTGTTCATAGGGTCACTATGAGTCGTGCTCAACTCTACAGCAATCAACAACAACTCAAGAATAAATGTGTTGTATCGAATACTAATGACCCAGATGAGTTGTGAAATTATATAAAAGATAATTAAAAGGAGATTAGAGAAAAGATCAAAACAATCTCAGAAGAGCCTCTGGAACTAACTCTAGAATGCAGAGAAGATTATTTGTTCAGTTATGTTTTGGCATCCTCCCCAGAGGATAAGGAGTTGTGCCACCAACCCAAAAGCAGACTGTTTGAATCCATCAGTTGCTCTATGGGAGAAAGAGAGTCTCCTTCCACGCAATTTACAGCCTCTAAAAACCTGCTGGAGGATGAGCTACATGAGTTGGTTCAAATTCAATATCAGTGAGTGAGTACTATTAAAAAACTTTCTCAAGTGTACCCTCTCACAAAAGATGTTGCCTGCAGGCATCATGAATTTGTAAAGGGACCTAGAATTCCATTTTCTACCTGGTCAGGTCTTAGGTTATTTCCTCCATATTGCATTAAAACCACCGCACTGTATAGCTAAAGGGTAGAGGTGGGGGAAGGAATGCAAATTGGCACAATCACTTTAGTAAACAGTTTGGCAATTTCTTATAGAGTCAGACATGTACTTATCATGTGATCTAGCAATCCCACGCCTAGCTATTCACCTAAGTGATATGAAATCCTACACTCACCCATAACCTGTATGTGAATGTTTATAGCAGCTATATTCATAATCACCCCAAACTAGAAACAATAAAGAAATCCTTCAACAGGTGACTAGATAAATTGTGGCATAGCTATCCAATGGAATAAACCACTAGCACACATAATACAAATGAACTATAAATGCTTTGCATTAGGTGAAAGAAGTCAGACTCAAGAGATGACACACTTGCATTCCCATGGCATTCTGGGCAGTAGCTGGAGTTGAGACAAGGTGGGAGTGAAATGAACCCAGGGAAATGTAGGAGAGGCTGACAAAAATAATTTCCCTCTTGACTGTGGTGGGGAGTGCACAATTACATGCATTTGTTGAAAGTAAAAAAAAAAGAAAAAGAAAAAAGGATTACTTAAAAGGGTCATTTGTGCTCTATGTAAAGCATATCTCAATTTTTAAAAAAGAAAACAAAGTAAGCCAGTTGACAGGCTCTTTCGGGCAGCTGCCAGTATTGGCTTCATTTCTTGTTCTTTGTGGCTCTGAGCTCTCTCCAACTCATGGAGACCTTAAGTCTAACAAACAAAATGTTGCCCAGTCCTCTTGATGACCACCAATGTGTTGTTGGCCATCTTGATGATCACCAATGTGCTGATGAACGTTTTGATGATCACCAATGTGTTGATGGCCATCTTGATGATCACTAATGGGTTGATGGCTGTCTTGATGATCACCAATGTGTTGATGGTCTTCTTGATGTTCACCAATGTGTTGTTGATGGTCATCTACATGATCACTGATGTGTTGATGATCATCTTTATGATCAACAATGTGTAGATCACTGTCTTGATGATCACCAATGTGTTGATGGTTGTCTTGACATTCACGGATGTCTTGATGGCATGTTTGAGCCATTGTGGCAACTGTCTCCTCATTCACATAATGGAGATTTCTCATAATTCTAACTTCCCTTTTCTAACAATCTGGTTTTTACCTGGCAACATGTCCAAAGCAAGAAAGTCAAATCTCACCGTCTTTCTTTCTAAGGAGCATTCTGGTAAAATTTCTTATAGGATTGATTTCTCTCGCTTTTCATACTTGATTGCCTTAATTTATGGTCTTTCTTTCTCTCTCTCTCTCTCTCTCTTTCTTTCTTTCTTTCTCTCCTTCCTTCCTTCCTTCCTTCCTGCTTATTCTGAAAGAGCCCTGGTAGCATGATGGTTAAAGCATCCAGCTAAAGATTGGTAGTTTGACCCCAACAGTCACTCCTTTGTAGAAAGATGTGGCAGTTAGATTCTGTAAAGATTTTCTGTTTTGGAAACCCCAGGGGCAGCCCTGTTTTGTTCTGAAGGTGCCTCTGAGACAGCACAGCTCAATATCACTGGATTTGGTTTTGAGGGTTGGGAGTACATTTTCTCCTCTCCTGACAGGTCAGTGGAGTGTTATAAAGGATACTTCTGGCTCTTTTGACCAGAACCCAGACTAATGAGGGAGACACCTTTCCATCCTCAAAAAGCTCCTGGTTTAAAGCAGGAGGACAGAGTGGGCAGGCAAAGAAAGATTGGGCCCACATGGACATCCAGGAAGACCCATTGCCCTCAAACATCACAGGTCTTCCTGGCTCTGCCTGTGATCATATAACTTTTTCATAATGACAGTAATGGCTATAATTAACTGCCACAAAAGTGTGATGTTCAGGAGGCAGCAGGCTGGGCTTGCAGTCAGGGAGGCTCAGTGGTGACTCACAGCACTGCTGTAGAGAAACAGCTGGTAGCCCCAGAGGGTGGTCAGGGGGCCAGGCTCTGGACAGAACAGGGAGTCTGCAGAGAGCCCCTTGAGTGGGCAGGTGCCAAGGTGTGAGCTCAGAAGAGGGGTCTATTGTGGTCCCAGTTTACTCTGAGAGTGACCCAAGGGACTGTGCTCCCTTTCCCATGGAAATAAATCCCCAGATCATCAATTTCATTGACAATCCTTCATGCGGGGTGCTCCCCAGGGCCACCCATGGAATCACATCCTTGACCAGCTTCACCATGTTACCCCTTTACAATCATGGTCAGAAAGGCACATCATCCCTCTGGGTGTGTTTTAATAGTACCTGCCACACAGGGCGGCTGTGAAGTTTTAATTAGCTACTATGTGTAAAGCATTTTGACTATTGTTATTATCCACCCATTTAACAACTGATGTATGGTGTCATTAAAACTTACACTTAGACAGCTACTGGTGGCAGGATGGGATGTGCCTGTCTCATAGTGCAGCCTCCTGGAGCAGCAATAACAAAGCAGAAGTTTCTGGGCCTTCGGTAAGACTACCTAAAAAAGTTATCAGAGAGGGTAGAGTGGCTCCTATGAGCCCCTCCACATAGCTCAGAGTGCTTTTATCCTGTCCTCAGAGGAAAAAAAAAATCTGGATTTTTACCCCCTAAGTTAGAGATTGGAACAAGATATCTCCTCCCTCCTTGGTTTTCCCATCCTCCCTGTCTCAAATTACAGGCTTCCATTTCATTTACTGAAAGCCTGCATTGAGAGTGTTCATAATTTAATTTTACTTTAGATCCATAATCCATACCCTTAGCACCAACAGTCAGGAAATCAAAAGACAAGTTACCTTGGGAAAATCTGCTATTAAAAAAAGAAAGAAAGAAGAGAAGAGAAACCTTGCTGTCAAAGATCTCTCCAGAGGACTAAAGATCAACTATGTCAGTTTACCCATGGCCTTCTCAATTACTTGCTATGCATCAGAGAGCTGAACAATGACTATGAATGACAGAAGAACAGTCAATGCTTTTGAGCTGTGGTGTTGGAGAAGAGTATTGAACATACCATGAACTGTCTAGAGAACATATATGTCTGTCCTGGAGAGGGTGAAACCAGTTTGCTCTTTGTAGGCAAGGATTTTGAAGCTTTGTCTCACATACTTTGGGCACATGGTCAGCAAAGACCAATCCTTGGAGGTCATCATGCTTGGAAGGGTAGAGAGTCAGTGCAGAGGGAAGATCCTGGATTAGATGGATTGACACAGTAACAATGGCATCAGGTGTATCAGAGATTCTGAGTTTGGCTCAGGATAGGGCAAGGTTCAGAGCCATTGATAGGGTCACTATGAGTTATAGTTGACCGGCTGACACATAACAACAACAACATCAACAACTAGGTGGCAAACATACAGCAATGAGGGAAGCCTCATTCCACATCAGACAAGGTCTTATCATTCTGATGCTGGCATTCTAGAATTGCTATTGTTGTTAAGTTCAATCAAATAAACTACAACTTGTAGCAATCGTATAAACAATGGATTGGAACCCTGTCCTAGACTGTGCTGTCCTGACCATATCTGACAAGCTCAAGCCTACTTTACAGTCCCTGTGTCAATTCATCTCCTTTCCCCCTTCATTAAACTTTGTTTTAATGGGTCTAAAATCTCTGGACAAATTTTTGGTTAAGTTGTTTCCATTTGAAAAGTACTTATTTTAAAAAACTAATAACTTTAAATGGCCACATGAAAAAGAAAAAGAAATGGTCCACAAAACACTCCTTTCCTTGTGAAGGTTTTACAATGCATTATTATCATTAATCAGTCTTTTACTATTAAACTTAAATGGCTAATTGAGACAAACAGCTCTGAGACCGTTCTTCTGCCACTGGTTAAGACTGGGGTGGCAGGTGTTATGGGTAATACTCATTGAGCTTTCTGAGCAGACTTGGTGACCTTGCCAGCTCCAGCAGCCTTCTTGTCCACTGCTTTGATGACACCCACAGCAATAGTCTGTCTCACAGACAGCAAAACGACCCAGAGGAGGGTAGTCAGAGAAGCTCTCCACACACCTGGGCTTGTAAGGAACCATATCAACAATGGCAACATCACCAGACTTCAGGAATTTGGGGCCATCTTTCAGCTTCTTACCAGAACAGTGATCAGTCTTCTCTTTGGGCTCAGCAAACTTGCAAGGAATGTGAGCTGCATGACAATGCAGCACAGGTGCATAACCAGCACTGCCTTCGCCAGGACGGTTGACGATGATCACCTGAGCAGTGAGCCACCTGCTTCCATGGGTGGGTCGTTTTTGCTGTCACCAGCCAGGTCGCCACATTGAACATCTTTCAGCGACATTCTTAACTTTGCAGCAAACATTGTTACAGGGCAAAGCTTCACTCAAAGCCTCAGGGCGCATTTCAACAAACTTTTACTTCAGTGGCAACACTGACTGGGGCAAATGTGACCACCATGCCAGACTTGAGAACAGCAGTCTCCGCTCTGCTCACAGGGACAGTACCAAACCACAAATCCTGTAGACATCCTGGAGAGGCAGACGCAGGGGCTTATCAGTTTGGATGAGTTGGTGGCAGGATACACAAAGCTTCAAGCAGTGGAGTTCCACAGGCACCGCCATCCTTCCGGGTGACTTTCCATCCCTTGAACAAAGGCTGGTTTGTTTTTTTTTTAACCAAGGCAAAGTCTACCCAACAGAGTGTGGAAACTATAGAGCAATCTCATTGATTTCACATACAAGCAAGATTCTACTGAAGATTATCCAAAAACGACTGGAACAGCACATCAGCAGAGAATTGCCAGAAGTCCAGGCTGGGTTTAGAAGGGGTTGTGGTACTAGGGATATTGTAGCTGATGTTAGATGGATCTTAGCTGAAAGCAGAGAATACCAGAGGAATGTCTATCTATGTTTCATTGACTATGCAAAGGTGTTTGACTGTGTGGATCATAACCAACTGTGGCTGACTCTGAGAAGAATGGGAATCCCAGAACACTTGATCATTCTAATGCAAAACCTATACTTGGACCAGGAGGCAGTCGTCAGAACAGAGCAAGGAAACACTGCATGGTTCAAAATTGGGAAGGGCGTACACCAGGGATGCATCCTATCTCCATACCTTTTCAACCTTTATGCAGGACAGATTACCTGGGAGGCTGGGCTCTCTGAGGAGAAATGTGGGGTCAAGATTCGTGGACGATTTATCAACAATCTGCGTTATACAGATGACACAACCCTGCTTGCTGAAAGTGAGGAGGACCTGAAGCACCTGCTGCAGAGGGTCAAGGACTGCAGCCTCAATGTGGATTGAGGCTCAATGTCAAGAAGACAAAGATTCTCACCACTGGACCAATTGGCAGCATCAGGATGGATGGTGAAGAGATTGAGATTGTTCACAGCTTTAGTTTGCTTAGCTCTACAATCAACACTCTTGGCACCAGCAGCCAGGAAATTAAAAGGCGCATCGTGATGGGAAAGTCTGCTATTAGGGACCTCTCCAAAGTACTGAAGAGCAATGGTGTCTCTCTGGAGACTAAGGTGCGTCTGATACAGGCCATGGTCTTCACAATCACTTGTTATGCATCAGAGAGTTGGACAATGACCAAGGAGGATAGAAGGAGAATTGATGCCTTTGAGCTGTGGTGCTGGAGAAGAGTATTGAGAGTACCATGGAATGCTAGGAAAATAAATAAATTGGTCCTGGAAAGGGTTAAACTGGGTGGCTCCTTGGAGCAAGGATTCTAACATACTTTGGACATGTTGTGAGGAGAGACCAGTCCTTGGAGAGGGACATCATGCTTGGGAGGATGGAGGGACAGTGCAGGAGGGGAAGGCCCTCTGTGAGGTGGATTGAGTCAGTGACTGGAATAATCGGGATGGGAGTGTCAGAGATGGTGCAATTGGTACAGGACAGAGCAGAGTTTTAGGGCTGTTGTACAAGGGTTGATATGAGTCGCAAGCGACTCAACAGCACATAACAACAACAACAACAACAACAGGTGCTAACTTCCTTAACAATTTCCTTGTACTCTCTTCTGATTGTAGGGTGGCTCAACGTTAACACCATTTTGTTAAAAGCAACAATTAGTTGCTTCACACCCTGTGTACAAGCCAGAAGGGCATGCTAAGAGTCTTCTCTTTCTCTGAGATACCAGCCTCAAATTCTCCAACCCAAGCAGCAGCGATCAGAACGGTGCAGTCAGCCTGTGATGTTCCTGCAAACACGTTTTTGTATAAAGTCTCTATGTCCTAGGGCATCAATGATGGTCATATAGTACCTGCTGGTCTCAAATTTCCACAGGGAGATTTCAGTGGTGATGCCACACTCACGTTTCACTGTCTGTTTCTTTGAAGGTGTATTTGAAGGAGCCCTTTCCCATCTCCACAGCTTCCTTCTCAAATTTCTCAGTGGTTCTCTTGTAGATCCCACCACATTGGTAAATCAGGTGGCCACTAGTGGTGGACTTGCCTGAATCTATGTGTCCATTGACAACAATGTTGATATGGGTCTCCCCATTTTGGCTTAGGATAGTATTCACCAACACCTGTATTCTGGCAACAAAATTGTTGCAAAAAAGCTCAATTCGTCTTGTTGGGGGTCTTCCTGTCCTTCACAGACCCTCCACTTTCCCAAGCATGAAGTCTTTTCCCAAGGACTGACCCTCTCCTAACAACATGACCCCAAGTATGTGAAATGAAATTTCACTCTCCTTGCCTCCAAGGACCACCCTGTCTGCACCTTTTCCCATGACTTATTTGTCCTTTCGGCAGTCCACGGGCTATTTAGCACTCTTCTTCATTCTTACTCATTTCAAACTGACGTTGCTCCTCAGCACGTCGAGAAGTCCCTGCCAGCATCCTTTTCCAATGTCATGTGTCTTTTGATTTCTTGGCAGCTGGTGCCAAGGGTGTTGATGTGGATCCAAGCAACATTCTAGAGTAGGATAGGATCATAAACAAGTTTTTAAAATGCACAGACAATTACAAATCATTAATTAGTTCTATGCAGGAAGCAAATATGATTTATGAAACCCTCCTAGATGAGGCAACATGAAAGCTGAAACCTCAGAGACAGGAAGGCCCAGACGTTTTAAAGAGTGGAGGGTTCTAGGCAGAGGAAAGCATGCAAAGGCCCTGGGGTGGAAAACAGCCTCAAGTGTTTAAGGAAGTACAAGAATTCTGAGACCAGGAAGGTGAGGGAGAAAAGAGAGAGGAAGTGGCAGAGACAGGCAGGACCAGGTATGTGGAGCCTGGTAGCAGCCTGGGTCCTGGGCTTTCACTCTGCATGAAATAAGTGTCACTCTAGGACTCTGAGCAGAGGAGGCCAGGCAGACGGTGAATTTTAAAGGAGCAAGATGGGAAGGAAGAGGACCCAGTGGTCCAGGAGGGACTGGTGTGGACCTGGGCCAGAGCAGGGGCTATGAGGTGATAGGAGATGGATGGATCAGATTTTGGAGAACCCAGGGCTCATATCTAACTCCCTATTTAGTGCTGATGCCAACCATACTTTTCTCCAGATCCCTTTCTTTCCCAGTTCCAAATACTTCTTCCAAGAAAGCAAAAAACCAAGTGTAACAAGCCATCTCCAACTGATGGTGTGTTACAGAGTAGAACTGGGCTCCATGGGGTTTCCTCAGCTGTAACCTTTATGGAAGCCAACTGGCAGGCCTTTCTTCTGTAGCACTGTTGTGAGTGTGGGACTCCAACCTGACAGGTAGCAGGTGAGAGTAAACCATTGAATGACCAAGGGGCCTCTCTTCAAGGAAGCCTTCCCTAATCACCGCACCCCTTAGCTTCATTCCACCATTGTCCCTCTCTGCTCTCACCATCCACCTCTCTAGCTTTCCAGAGGTGCATCCTCCTCGTTCACAGGTATGTGATCGACAGCTATAGCGAAGAGTTGAGTACAAAGCTAGAGGCAGTCGACAGGACTGGAGGTTTAGGGTAAGCTGACTTCCAAGGGGGTCTATGTCCCCCCACATTTCCCTTAATGACTTCTCGACATAGTCCCTAGGGAGTCGTCTGCTAGCTGAAAGGCTGTGTCTCTCTGGTGGTTTGAATCCCGGAGAGGCTCTGCCAGTGAACGATCCACAGTCTCCTCTCCTTTGATGTGTAGCCTCGGAAGCCACAACGGAAGGTCAGCCACGAGGCAGTTCCGGCTCGGCAGCAATGAGTCCGGGCTCCGCAGAGTCTGAAACTCTAGATGCAAAGCGATTGGGAATCGTCTGGTAAAAGGCAGTCCCTCTAGGTCCTGGTTGCTTTCCGGTTCATGCCAGTGGTGTCATCCCTCCCCTTCAGTCAGGGTCCAATACTGAAAGCTATCTCCCAAAACCTCATTCGTATCTTCCCTTCCTCAACATATTCACTCTCCCAAACAACACTGAGCACCTGCTGTGTGCCTGCCTCTGGGAAGAGCACTCAAAGATGACCAAGGCATAGTCGGACTCAAGGGTTCACAGTCTGTCAAGAGGCAGGTAGGAAAATCAATACAATGATGGTGATGGTGATGATGAAGATGGAGACAATGATGGTGGTAGTGTGAAGGATAACGAGGGGGGTGAGGGTGGTGGCGATGAGATGGGGGCACCACGGCGATGGTGGTCATGGAGGTGGTGGTGGTGGTGATGTACGCTGATGGGGGCGCCAGGGATGATGAAGATGATGATTGACAGTGGTGATGGTGAAGGATGATGAGGATTATATCTTGTTGAGGACTCACTATGTGCCCAACGCCATGCTAAGCACTTGACATGTATTAACTCATCTAATTCTCCTAACAGCCCTATGACTTAATAGCAATTATTTTAATAATGGGTAACATGTACTACTTGCTAAATGCCAGCACTTTTCTAAATTATTTTCAAATGTTAACCCGTTCAAGGCAGTTATTATTGTATCTCCCATCTTCAGGTGAAGAAACTAAGGTACAGAAAGGTTTAATAATTTTACTTAGGGTCACACAGCCAGTTAGCAACAAAGCAAATGCGTGTGCTTCGATAGATAGAGATAGCAGGGAGCTCTGGTGGCCTCGTGGCAAGAAGCGACGCTGCAACCCTGAAGGCAAGAGGTTCGAATCCACCAGATGCTCTGCTGAAGAAGGTGGGTAATCTCCTCCTGTGCCAACTGGATCCAGTTGACGGTATACAAAAAAGAAAAAAGAAGAAGAAGAAGAAATGAGAAAAAAAGAATAGATAGCAAGAGTTGTGGAACCTCAGAAGAAAAAGCAATTCCTTCTGACAATAGTAAGACGGGGCCTAAAGAACTAGTAGGGGCTTGCCAAGTAGCCATCAGTGATCTGTGGAGCAAGGTCCGTACGTGTGTTAAAGATGTGGGACATGGTTTGGCATGGCCAGAGCATTGCAGGATACAGTCAGGCTGCAAAGGTGAAGAAATGCCAAGTACATTATATGAGTATTTGGGGTCAAAATATGGGGCTTGCTTTTATCCCTAAGGCAATGGAGGCTGCAGCCCTCATTTCTCTCCTACACTAAAAAGTTCTAATCTCAACCCTGCCTGGTGCTGGAGAAACAAGCCTTGCATAAACAGGGTGCACTCAGGAAACTGTACCCAGAAAATTGTAGACTCTTGTCCACTCACTCAATTTCGGTTGTATCCCAAAATTGTCCTTGGCCAGGGCTTCAAATCAGTTCAGTCATGATCAACAGAGCACAATTGAAACCAGTCTGAATGTGTAAAAAATGGTGAAACAGCATGATAGCCAGAATGGAGACAATGACAGGTCAAAGCCCTGGAAGAGGAAGCTCATAGAAGTGTAACGAACCCTTTCATGATCCTGACATGCGAGATTGAGTTACGGCCAGAACTGTGAATAATGACACACACTCAGAGCTGCACAGCTGGCATCATCTTTGAGCTGGACACCATTGTTTCTGACCCTGCCTATCAAGAGACTTAGCTTCTAGGCACCACTCAAGTTGTCCTTGTTTCTTGAGAGAGAGAGATTAAGTTTCTTGTGCATCAGTCCATAATTTTCCCCATTCCAATTAATTATTCCGATTCATCCATATTTTACAAATTCAAATCTGTTCCAATTTCACTTTGATCATGACTGAACCAGAAAGAACCAGTTCAAAGACCTATCTCTGGTAGCTTTCAGGCCACACCTCTGCCAACACTTAACATCAAGTTCAGTGTATGGGTCCCAATCTACAGCCACCTTTAGGTCCACCCTTCCTTTATACTTGGTTCAGGACACCCTCCTCCATGAAGCCTTCCCTGATCACTCTAGGCAAGTGAGTTTCCATTCTCTCTTAGCCTCACTTGAGATGCACATCATGGCTGAAATCGTAGACTCCCAACTTTCTTTTCACAAATCCATCTGACTCTAAATTCCATGCAAGCAGCTACCTCTCACCTTTTACCTTAATCCCATCCCTCCTGAAAGGGAGGCAAATAGCAGGTAATCAGTGGACTCTGAGGCTAATCCAAAGACTGGTCTAACCCAGGAGGGGCCTTGCCGCAGCTCTGTTCTTTCAGGCAGGATCTCCGCGAAGTGTCTCTGGCTGCCTTCCACTCTTCTGCTATGGACACTGGCCAGGAACAACATTGGTGCTTGGGAGCTGGAGGCTGAAGACTGAGGTTCTGAGCTTCTCTGACAGACGCTGGCTCAGATTCAGAAAGATCATGAACTTGAATCAAGACCCAAAAAGACCCCAGTAAGGCACCATGTGCAAGCTCGCGTCACTTTGTCTTGCCAAGGTGTAGCCAGATAATAACAATCACAATCAACATACTTTAGGCACTTATCTTTCCTCTTTCTCCTTTCAGCAACCCTAAGAAGTCAGTACCATGCCAACCCCCACTGTACAAGTTTACAAATACTTATTGGGCACCTTGATGTTCTTCTTGTTGTCAGGGGCTATTGAGTCCGTTCCAACCCTCAACCTCTCTGCTGTGCTTAAGCCCATTGTTGCAGTCATGTGTTAATCCACTTTGTCAAGGGTCTTCCTCTCCTTGACTGACCCTCCACTTTTCTTGCATGTCACCCTTTTCCAGGGACTGGTCCCTCCTGATAACACAACCAAAGTATAACCAAAGTATAACAAAGTACAAAGTCTCTCCATCGTGGCTACTAAGGAGCACTCTGGCTTCACATCACCCAAGATGGATTTGTTTATTCCTTAGATTGTGCATGCTTGTGCCACGCGCGGATCTCAGAACTGGGGTTCAAAGATGCATGTGAGATAGATATGATCCCAAAGCCTTAGTCCTGGTATCCCAGACACAAACCTCCTCCTCGGGTAATGTAAACCCACTGAGTCAGTTTTGACTCATATGGACTCTGTAGGGTAGAGTAGAAAGGCCTCATAGGGTTTTCAACACTGTAGATCTTTCTAGAAGAGTTACTCATCTTCCTGCAGAGCTGCTGGTGGGTTCAAACTCACAATCTTTTGGTTAGCAGCCCGTTGCCTTAACTGCAACAGCACCAGAGTTTCTTGGGATATGCAAATCTTGATAATTAAAGGGGGGGGGTTGGCATAAGAAATAAACAATTGTCACAGCAGAGCACAGGGACTCACAGTGACACCTCA